GCCAAAAAGCATCCCAAGTCTGCAAAACCTGTCGCGTGCAACTGCAAACAACGAACGACGCGAAACCCATCACTCTTTTCACTGCACCTTCCCATCGCGACACGATCTATCGCTCAACCGCTGTGAGATGCATCTGGCAAAAGCGGTGCACTCGCTGTGTTTCGCGCTGCGGGGTGCTGGCAGGCGGGCGGCAATTCAGGAGGCTCAAGCAGTGAGAGATATAAAGGCTTTCACACAGAGCCAGATGGCCGAAGCCGAGGCGGAAGGCTCAGCAGCGCCCGCTGCTTTTGGCCCTGCGGCCGGGGCAGGCTTACTGGGGTTGATGCCGAAGGGCGAGGGCTGCTGCCTTGCCGGCCTGGACCGCACCTGCGCCATGGGCTGGCTGCTGGAGGTCTTCCTCGGAGTCCATGCGATACGTCAGGGGCTGGTGCCGGCGCATCTGCCGGCCTGTGAGGCTGAAGTGCTGCTGGGCGCCCACGTCGTGCATGCCGTTCAATGTCTGGATGTCCACGGCGCTGGATTGGTCGCTATCCGTGCCCTGCCACCGCCTCCCAGCATATAGCCTCCTGTCAATGCGCCCGCCGCGCCCACGGCACCCAAGGCTATCTCGGCGGCCGTCGCCAAGGCGCCTCCTGCCGCCACAGCTTTTCTTGCTGCGGCCACCGCTTCTGCGCCCGAAGCCGCCGCGACGTGCAATACTTCCCGAGCTCCCTCAGCACTTTCACCCCGACCACCAGCCGAGTGGCCAGGATCCCCCTGACCAGCGGCAACGACTGGATCGATCCCGAAAGCCTAAAATTAGCCTTCAAGGGTGCGGAACACCGACGGCGGCGGCGGGCATGGTCTACCCCTCGAGGGAAGCTGCTTCATCAAGCGCGTCCAGCTGTTCAGCAATGGTCAGCGCACGGACGATATCAGCGAGTACGGGCGATGCTGCTGACTCTATAGCCTGCTCAAGCTGCAGGAGTGGTACAATGGCCGCGCCTACGAGGGCTTCTATCCCACGAACCTGGGGAACCAGCCCGCCATCCTGGACGGCAACCACAG